GGTTATTTAACTATATAAGACTACATCATTTTTTTTCCTAGGTTACGTTGCTATAACAAATGATCCTTCCAGAAATCTCAAGTGGTTTGTAAAAACAAAGAGTTTTTTTGTGTGTGGTTTTGTTTTTGCTTTTTCCCTTGTTCCCGTTTTATATTAGCTACTTGTCACAATAGCTCTGCTCCTGCCCCACATTTCTACCTTATTCCAGAATGCAGACTAAAAGTAGAGCCTGAAGTCCCTATCTAGAACACGCCATTATTATAACAAAGGAAAAGGGACCAAACCAAAGTAGGCAATGGTGCTCAAAATTTTTGGCTTACAATTGCCGTATTCTCACTTCTATTCAAATTCCAGCCCGAACAAATCATTTGGACCAACATGGTATCATCAGGTTGGAAAGTATATTCCTTCCACAGAAAGGCCATGCAAGTTACATTAAGAGATAGAAATATGTAATCTTCTAAAAGGAAGGAGGGAGAAAATAATTTAGGACATAAGACAGTCTGTCACTGAGACAAATCCTAGTTCCGATACCAGAAAAACACCAGGCTTAGTACTGTTCTCTCTGTAGATGTGCCCTTTTAGTTCTACCTATTGTTGTTCTTCCTCTTCATAATCTGCTGGAAAAACATAATAATTATAACCTTGAAATGACTCATATTGACACCCCTCATCAAAGGCTTTTTGAAAAACATCTCATTGACATACTTTTGTCCACATGGAGGATTAATCCCTTCGAGTTTCCCAAATCAACATAATGTTTCTTCCAATGCAGATTCATACTCACTTTCCGTAATTTATCCCCAAGTATTTAGTGATCTGGTAGACATCTTTTGTTTCTGCCTACTTAGGAACATTTTTTGGCTTCTTCTGGTCATAATACCCCCTCCTTTTTTCCTTTTTTTCCTTAAATTACTCTTTAACCATGTTCAGTCTCCTGTCTCAGTGGGTATCCCGTGCTTTAAAGCAATATGAAATTAAAAAGAAAGGACAATCATGCACTACAATTTTCTCAGAGAAATAGTTCAAGAATAAATCCTCCGAAGTATAGGTAGAATCTGGGTAAGTGGGTGGGGAGAATTCCTGATGAAGGAATCAGGATGGAGGACAGCACAGAGGAGCAAGGCCGGGAGGAAGCTCAGCAGGATTGGAATCATAGAAAGCTTTCTTTAGGGGAGAAAACAAGCCAGAAAGAAGCTTGGGATAAGCTAAAAGTGGCTTTTGGTGACACGTGAAGGTAATTAGACTTCATCTTGTCAGCTGTAAGGAATTTACAAGGAGAGAATAGAATAGTAAAGGACACACACTTCATACCACAGTGCTTAGGAGCAGGGTCTCAGATAGTTTTCCCTGGATTTGAATCCTAAACATTTCTTCTTAGCGTATAAACATAACAGACATTTAACTACTCTATTTCTAATATTAAGTGGGAACATATTTACCTTTGGTGCTAATGCTCATTTGTAGTTAAACCACCATCCACTCTGACTAGTTTGAGCATGGAGAGCATTACTACAGAATATTAAACGGCTCTTGGAAGCACTGCCTGAAGAAAATCATATTTATGCTGAGATTTAAAAGTGTGGCCCAAAGCCACACTGCTGAACTGGACTAGCACAGGATGCCACTGCCACACTGAGACGTCACCACTACCTCTCCTGAATACAGAGTCATGGCATCTCTGCTACTGTTTACAAATAGTGATTTTCAGTACAAGACTACTTGTTTTACTCCCACATGCACATTAGAAAGGGAGTCACATCAGTTTCAGATAGCAGAATTTGTTGCCCACAGTCTTCTTGTGTTCTCAGATCCAAATAGTGTTAGGGTGGATACCTAAACAGTCTGTGGCAACTCAGCCTTCTCTTTGAAAGAGTAAATCTCAATAAATATGTTTTGATGGCTCTTATGCAATATCTGATCATATAAATAGGTATTTACCTAAAACCAGAAATGGAATTAATATGCTGTTTGTTTTAAGATTATTTATTTATTTGACACACAGAGAGACAGAGCACCAGCAGAGGAGCAGCAGAGGCAGAGGAAGAAGCAGGCTCTCTACTGAGCAGGGAACATGATGTGGGACTAGATTCCAGGCCCCTGGGATCATGACCCAATCTGAAGGCAGATGCTTAAACCACTGAGCCACCTGGGTGCCCCAAATACGCTGTTTTTATTTTGTAAGTCAAAATATCTCCATTTTTATTTTATTTTTTTTAAAGACTTCATTTATTTATTTGACAGAGAGAGATCACAAGTAGGCGGAGAGGTAGGCAGAGAGAGAGGGGGAAGCAGGTTCCCTGCTGAGCAAAGAGCCTGATGTGGGGCTCAATCCAAGGACCCTGAGATCATGACCCAAGCCAAAGGCAGAGGCTTAACCCACTGAGCCACCCAGGCACCCCCAAATATCTCCCATTTTTAGACAGAAGTCATTAGGGAGAGAAATTTAGGCATTTTTTCTTCTCCTTCTCCTTCTTCTTCCTCCTGTTCTTCTTCTTCTTCTTCTTCCTCCTCCTCCTCCTCCTCCTCCTCCTCCTCCTCCTCTTCTTCTTCTTCTTCTTCTTCTTCCTCTTTTTTTGGTTGTCAAATGATCCTTTATTGAAATATTTTCCTTCGTAGTTGTTACTAGCTGGGCATTCCACCACACCACTATTGATGTCACCTATGATGTCATGGGGTGGCCGCTGTCAACATTGAAGCCCACAGACTGGGCAGTCCCCAAGATCTCTTTACTGGTTCCAGAGAGTTCTCTGCTAAAGATCGGTGTCACGTCTTAACAGTCCCATCAGAAATGATGTTTCCACTGTGCTTAATGCTTTCTAGTTTTTTCTGTTTCTTGGAGCTTCCTTGAGGGCTTGGTAATCAAGGCAAAGGCAGAAGGTACCATGTCAATCTGGTCCTGTCTGTTCTAAATGGTCAGCTTTATCCTCAGACCCTTCAAATTATAGGTTGTCTTGCCAGGGTCATCACCAGCCTTTTGAGACAGATGCAGAGGGGTGATCCTTGGGGCCAGGGCAGACGTGGCACTGACTACCCCACCAGGGTTCCTCAGGTACATGACTCTGACCTTGTCAGGGTCAAACGTAGGCAGCATGGTGGAGGCTGCTGGTGTCAAATGCACCTAGATTTGCGATGACCGAAGACAGCTGCTACCTTTGCCTCTTCTGAGCTGAAAGCCAAAAGCAAGAAGTTAGGTCATTTTATGCAAGACATTTATTTCCCTGAAAAATGATTACTAGCAAGACCAAAGAATGTGCTAATTCCAAACGTGCAGTAGGACATCAGGCTTCACTAGGTCATATCATCTTCCCAGAAGCCAGAACTAGAGCTCTCAGGGTTTTCTCACAGTTTATAAGGGGGAAGCAATGATTCACTTAGCACCTTGTTCATGTGCTTCATAAATGAATAATGGCCTGTTTTTCTGTGGTCTTCAGTCAGGGTCTTTGGCTCTCACTCTACTGCCGATTTCTGTTGATCTCTCTCCCTCTTTCTCTCAGTCTCCCTCCCTCTCTTTTCCCCTTTCTTCTGCTTATACACAAACAATATAGGCTAGTTAGTTTAACTAGAATCTGTCACTGATCACTGATTTTTGTCTACTTCTGGTGATTGTTTAGCTAGTACAAACCGACAGTACATTTGGTGACCCAGATTGATCCCCTGACTGATGCTGGTTCCTTAGGCAGTGTATTCAAGACTTATTAGAGATTTTCTAACCTTTAAACCCCTGAGTATGTGGGCCAGATTACAGGAGTGTTACATCTTTGCTCTTAAGAACATTCACTTTATAAGCAATGAGAAATGAATTGTCTGATTCTGTACATGGTTTTCTCTTGTTACATAGGAAAATGCAGTCAGAATTAGTTTAATTATAACAATTTTAGATATGACGTGAAAGATTGGAACATGTTTACATTGCATCAATAAACCATTATACAATGTAGTTATAGTAAAACATTAAAAATATGAATAAGAATATTAACATTTATTTTACATTTCCAATGTACCATAGGGAGCACTTTACATATATTCTCCCAATTATTTCTTTAAACAATCATATGTGTTAAACACTGTTATCTCCACTTTACAGAGAAGCAAACTGGGGTTTAGAGAAATCAAGAAATGACTCCATGTCATATGCATGTAGCTAGGAAGAGAAGTGTGGGTGTTCAAACCAGGCAGATTGATTCCATACTTAGGGGAAATAGAACATGTGTATGCATCATGTGAACTAAGATCTTAATTTCTTAATGCTAATATGAAATTGATTCACTAAGCATTTTCTCAGGAAAAGCAAGTACTAAATGTCACAACAGATGGAATGCTAGTTTGTTGTCTTCTTCTGCCCTTTGGATGTTTCAAGCTGCTGCTTCTGGCTTCAGAATTTCAGTTAGGAAAGTCAAAGTTATACAAGTAAGTGAGAACGAGTTGAACCACAAGGGGCAAACCTTTCAGAAGGACAAATTTGGGATATATTTCAATAAGGAAATGAAAAGGGAATATTGCTTATCTCTAAACTACTTTTTAAAGAATAAGAGTTGTATGGGGGGAAAATATTTGTTCACTCCATCTCTTATGCAGCATTTTTGTAATATATGTTTTGATATCTACGTGTAGCATACATTAGTATTGCTTTCATCTGAAGAATCCAGAGACCTAGCTATCATTTCTTCAGGCTTTTTTCTGCTTATTTTCATATTTAATCACACATGGTAAGAAAGTTTGTGGCCAATGAAATGCCTACTTCAAGACCTGTGGCCAAGAGGAAGGGACTTCCCATTTGCTCATCACTTCCAGAAGACATATGGAGTCAAAAGAAAGGGACACATGAGCTACCAACCTGCCTCTTAGGCTTCATCCCACACAATTATTGTCATAAATTCTAGTAGTCACTATCAGAGAAGGTGTCTGTGCAACTTCCCTTTGATTCCTTGCCATTTCCACGTTTTGCAATAACTTACGGCAGCTTAGTGAGCTAAAGGCTTTGTTTGATTAAATCCTAGGCTTCTTTCCGTCTTTCTTTGGTCCACGTTATGACAGTGAAACCAGCCTGAAGGACCCAGCCTGGCAAGGTAAATTCCCAATGATTTATGCAACGTCACTTTCTTGATGATTAACCTGAATAAATCATGTTGGTATTTTCAGCAGTGATCCAGCTGCCCTTTATATTCTTATCAATTTTCAGGGCGAGAAGAAATTAGCCCAGTTCTCCCATTGATCTTGTGAGGAAAATTGTACCCCATAGCAAGGGTTCTACTGATAAACAGTGAACACTACAAATCACTTATCAGTTTACTTTTAATCAATAAAACTTCTCCTGATACACTATTCTAGCAATTGGTCTAAATCACTGTAACTGTTGTTTTCAAAACCTTTTAATCTAATTGGAAAATCTTCCTTTGTACTAGTAATAAACACTCACTAAACTGTCTGCACCTAATTGAGCTAGAATAATTTATGGGTGCTCCCTACTGTTTTGTCCCCTCTTTAATCAGACAGACCATTTTATGTCTTTAACTAATGAAATCTAAAAATCCACCCAGAAGATCTGATCAAATATCACTAGTGAATACATCTTCATTAACACTGGCAGCTTTCAAACCTGCTGTCCATCTTGATTTAATTATTGTCTCCCAACTGTACTGTTGTCAGGTGGCAAACACCTTTTCCCCATTTCTTTGATAGCACACCTTCATCAGCAGGCCTACAAAAGACTTACAAGGGTAATGCACAGCCCTCTGGCAAGTCTATGCTAGCATTAAGGATGGAAGCAGAGTCATCTCCAGTATAACCAGTTCTACGTCTCCTGGTGATGGGCATTGCTTCTGTTTCCATTTCTCCTGAAATTTTTTCTACTTTTTATCTTTGTCAGTAAAAAAAAAAACAAACAAAAAAAACGCACTTCTATCAATTCACTCAAGGTGTTCAAGCAATGATTAATTTATGCTACCCGAGGTCAGAAAAGAACAAAATACTGTTAAGAATAAACTATTTCCACAATAGCTGATTATTACAGTAGGAAATTTTTCTTGGGAAACTCAGATCGGAGCAAATGGAATTAGATACTAAGTTTGGAGGAGTGTCACAATCAACCAATCAGATCCACAGGAAGGTTTCCATTAACTATATTCCCATTAAACTGACAAGCACTTATTTCCCTAACTGTTCTCAGAAACACTGACTGATCAGTTTATTTTGAAAGTTCCCTTTTGTCCCATCTGCCTCATTTTGAAACATGCCCTCTTATCATTTATATAACTCCAAAAAGGGATGCCACTTACAAGTGACTTGGGTACCTTAAAATTAATAAAAGGGAAATAGATGCTGACAACCAGGCAGCTAGATCAAAGAGAAAGGAACAATGACATTAGCCTTGAGAGCTAGTTCAATTGCTGGTTAACAAATGTTTATGTAGTTTTGACCATATGCCAGGTACTCTTCTAGACCCTTCACGTATTTTAATCTTAAAAACAATTCTAAGAGGTTGGTTTTATTTAAACAACAACAACAACAACAACAACAAAAACGTTTTCCGGCTGAGGGAACTGAGACAGATTAAGCATCTTGCTAGAGCTGCACAGCTAGTGAGTGGTAGAACGGGTTGTATCCAGATAGATAGGCTTTGGAGTTCATGTTTTTTTCTCTACATTATGCTATTGTTTTGCACAACTGAATGTTTGACTTGAATATGAGTTTTAGAATGTAGGGCTCTAAACACACTAGCATGCTAAAGGCTCTGAGAAGATTTACAGCGAAGACATAGCATAACAGATATAATCTAATATTTGTAGACCTACTCAACAGTAGAACAAGTTTTCTGGAAGACCCACTAAAATCGTGCAGAACCAATGACTCACCACGAATGACCTTCGGAAAAGTCATGTTAAAGTCTTGCTTGCTGTGGGTCCTTCAAAGGACACTGAATAATATGGTAAAATTTTTCTTAACGTATACCTAAAAAACAAATACAAACTGGTTTTTACACGCTTCCTTCAAGTTTTTTTGTTTTTTGTTTTGTTTTGTTTTGTTTTTTAATGGAAGGTTTAGCACTGAAATACAATGTGTTAAAGAGGATCCTGAGGGGGTCTAACCCATATATAAACTTCCTGCGGTCATTACATCACAGGCTCCATTTGCCACAATATCTGTGACTATAATTTATATATTATTGACATTTCAGATTAGTTGCTTCCCAACTGAGATTTTGGAAAACACTTATTAACATGGCCTTAAATCACTTTTTAAAATGGGATACCGATATTTTATTCCACGATGCAGGAGACTTTACGTCTTTAAGGTAGGTCATTTTTCTTCATTGCTGGGTCAGTTGCTGACTCCCAGAGCCTTGTGTTTTTGAACAGTTTTATGTAATCTTTTCTATTTGGGGCCTACAGTTGGTGTGTTAAGTGCCTCAGAATATCTTTACACAAAATTGGGAAAGTTCTTGTCTTTTCTGTTTCTGCTTGAGTAATCTTCAGTGGTTAGGAATATGAGCTTAGACTGGCCAGAATGTGGTGAGAAATCTAGCTCCCACTCTTTAGCTCTGGGACTTTGGCCATGTTAAATTGTTTTGATAAGTCTTTGTTAATCTACAGAAAGAGAGTAATGTAAGACCTGTTTCACATGGTAATTGTGAGGACTGACTGCCATAATGCTTTTAAAGCATATTGTATGGTATAGGCCATCATCCACTAACTGGTGTCTATTTCTAAGGTCATTGCTTAAAACTTTAGTTTCCCTTTGAAATACTGGGGGGCTTGTTAAAACACAGATTTCTGAGCCCCACCCCCAGAGTTTCTGATTCAGTAGATTTGGGATAAGGCCTGAGGATCTGCATTACTAACAATTTTCCAGGTGTTGCTGATGCTGTTGGTGTGAAAACTACACCTTGAGAATCATTGCCATAGAGTAACTAACAAATGTACTGTAAAAAGAGAAGCTGTCGAAGTGATCGTGTTGTAACAGGTGCATTTATCAGAGGACTTTACAGAGACACTATCAGAGACATTTAAGAAAACTCTGCATTAGGGGTGTCCGGGTGGCTCAGTTGGTTAAGCGGCTGACTCTTGATTTTGGGTCAGGTCATGATCTGAGGGTCCTGGGATAGAGCCCCATGTCAGGCTCTGGGCTCAGTGGGGAGTCTCTCTCACTCTCCCTCTGCCCATCCCTCCCTCTCTCTCTCTCCAAAATAAATAAATCTTGGGGCACCTGGGTGGCTCAGTGGGTTATAGCCTTTGCCTTTGGCTCAGGTTATGATTTCAGGTCCTGGGATTGAGCCCCACATTGGGCTCTCTGCTAAGCGGTGAGACTGCTTCCCCCTCTCTCTCTGCCTGCCTCTCTGCTTACTTGTGATCTCTGTCAAATTAATTAATTAATTAATTAATTAAAATAAATAAATCTTTTAAAAAAGGAGAGAAAACTCTGCACTTATGCAGAGTTATAGTCATAACCTAGAATCTGCCAAGAATAGGATTTATAAAAGATAACAAACGTCTTTGACTGGTCTGCACTGGTCTTGCACTGGCCTGGGATGGTTTCCTTCTTTCAAAACAGTATTGCATTTGAACTGAATGGTAAGTAGCAATGTTTTGTTTCATTGTTGTTTTGTATCAAATTCTCTTGCTCTGACATAATGATGGTCTGACATAGTAGACCCCATTTTAGATTCTCCCAGGTCTGTCTCAATGATGTGGTTAGGATGGTTCTCCCCTAAAGATTAGCCAGTGAGAAGTAACACTCATGAGTCACTGGGGACCCCTGAGTATGCAGCCTGGACAAGAATCATTGAAAAGTTCATCTTTTCACCTTAGAACAGATGGAAGCAGCTAGAGTAAATGATAGACAGAAGGGAACAGACTTCATTACACCTTCTGAGTTAATACTGACCTGGGAAAAATACAATGATATCAAAGTTTGTCCTGATAACTGAGAAAGCCTTCTTAATTAGAGGTAATGTCAAAAAGGTGGCTATTCCCCAAAATTCCTGCTCACCTACCATCTGCTACTGATAAAGGTTGGCAATTAAGAAATGTTAAGAGTAAGTTCTAATTACCTTCCTACCCTTGTATCTTGTTCCCTTGTTGCTCTTTGATAGCCTTAATTGAAGCCCACATGTGAATCACATCTTCTGCTGCATGCTGGTTCCTTCTGCCTGAATACACAGAAATCATCATAAATCCCAACTTGCCCTCTGGTAAGTGTCTGCTCCTAGAAACATAATCTTATACTTCCCAACTTTTCTGCGTATATTCATCTTACTTCACTGTATTGCTCTGAGTGTGGTAACAATAGCAGTTCTAAATGTAATTCCCCAAGAATGGCACTTGTCAATTGGTCTAACCCTCCCCTTTGTTAAATTTGATGATGCAACAGAAGTGGCACCCTTCTCACCAAGCGCTGATCAAGTGTATTGAGATCCAGGTGGTCATATCCTATTGGGGTCACCTCTTCTTTTATAAGTTACAGAAACAAATTTTCAGTAGAGAAATTTTATTTTCTGTGCTTTGCGTACTGCCAGTAGAGAACAGAAAAAGAAGAACATTATGATTTCGGAAGTAATTTATGGCTGCTGAGTCTCTGGTTATACAGAAATAAGAACATGTTTGTCCTCCTACTACGAGATAAAAACTATGACATTCCAGCACCATGTTGCTATGGTGTTTTTTTTGGAAGAGAGATTCACCTCACTGCCTGACCTGGAGAAGTACAAAATATTGTTTCATTGAAGCCATCATAAATATATCCCTACAAATAGTGCCCAGAATCCACAGAAGATCTCCAAATATCTGAGTTTATGAAATTTATTTATATCTAGCATCTGTTCAATTTTTTTCAGTAATTATTTTAGCAAGAACTGAAGAGCCAGATCCTGATAATTTTCTACTTTATCACACTATTTAAAAATGCAACAAAATACAGGCAGTTATTCTTTGTGGAGCACTTACAGGAGCAAAACCATATGTTGTTCTTGTTTGGGATAATTATAAATCTTTAAATATTTAAATGTACTTGTCTTTCAAACTGGTATCAACTCCAAAACAAACAATTTAATGTGAATAACTCAACACCTAGAATGTCTATGTACCAAACAGGTAATTAAGTCTATGCATGCATCCATACAAACAATTCCAAGTGGATTCATGTGTTTGCATGAATAACCAAAGTAGGCTATAAATTAATATTTTTTTTCTTTTAAAATAGTCCACTGGGGGGCAACTGGGTGGTTAAGCCTCTGCCTCCAGCTCAGGTCATGATCTCAGGGTCCTGGGATAGAGACCCACAGTGGGCTCCCCCTGCTCAGAGGTGAGTCTGCTTCTCCCTGGTCCTCCATGATCTTTCTTTCTCTCACTCTCTTTCTCAAATAAATAAAAAAAAATTATAAAAACTTAAAAAAAATAGCCATTGGGACTTGAAGCCATTGAATTGTAAAGTTAAGACTTCAAAATCATCTTGTCTGGTGATTTTCAACTTTGATTATGCATTATAACAAGCTTTGGAGTTAAAACACATAAACCTGTGTCTCAGGTATTTATGAATAAGAATAAGAATTTGACATTCTTACTCACTGTGTTTTCAATGGGAAACTGGCATGTCTATTTTTAGATGTTTTATAGATCATTCTGATGGGCATCTGTATTAGTTTCCTAGACCTTCCATAAAAAATTACCATAAACTGGGTGGCTTAATACAATTGAAATTTATTCTGTCATAATTCAGGAGGCTTGAAGTAAAAAACCTACATGTTGGCAGAGCCATGCACCTTCCGAAAGCTCGGAAAGGGAAGAATCCTTCTTTGCCTCTTCCAAGCTTTTACTGATTGTTGGCAATCATCACCTTGCAGCTGCCCTGGTCCATTCTCAGCCTCTGGTGGCCTCATTGGTCTCTGTGTGTCTGTGTCTCTAGGTCTCTCCTTATAAGATCATCAGTCATTGGATTTAGGATCTACCCTCATCTAGAATGATCACATCTTAACTTCATTACATCTGCAAAGTCCCTATTTCTAAATACAGTAACATCAGTAGGGATAAGCAATTAGGAATTGAACCTATTTGGGAGATTTCAATCACTAAAGCCCCCAAAGTGAAAACTTCATTTAACCTGGGTACGGTGTGTGACCACTCATGCTGACCAGTCCTTCCTGGTCATGGTACTATTCCTACTTTGTCTGGAACCATCTAACTTATTCATAATTTTCTATATTCACTATTCCCGATTCATGTGTTTAGAGAGGACTAGACAATGGGCAGATATTAACAACTTCATTAGTTCCCACAGAAGAAAGGACAGTGAAGGGGTGTGAAGATAACAAGTGCAAAGACTCAGAAGTAAGAAAGGGAATAGACAGAAGGGGAACAGACTTCATTACACCTTCTGAGTTAATACTGACCTGGAACGGAAGGGGAACTGTGTCAAGAAACACTGTGCTTCAGGATGAGGAGATTTTGAATGGCGAGTGTGGGAGAGAGGGGTAAAGGGTAGGGTTGAAGAGGGAAGCAAGGGCCAGGCCATAAGAGTACCTAGATGTCATGCTGGGGAGCTTCAACTTTCCTTTTCCTTAGGCCAATGGAGAGCTGTTGAAAGGTTTTAAGAAAGGAATTGTGTCCCTGCATGATTGAGTTTTGTTTTAAGAAATATTACCCTAGTGATAATGTGAGAAGTGAACTTAAGGGGGTAAGAGAGGAGTCTTGGAAACCATTTAGAAAATTGTTACCTTAGTGGACTGCAGAATGATGATGCCATAATTCAAGGTGCTGGTGCTAGGGTGGAGAGAAAAGGACAGATCCAAGAGATTGAGTAGATACCATTTACTGGTTAATTAGACACAAGGAGCGACATAGGATAATTATGTTTCAGCCCTTCCTCCCCCATCGTTCATCAAAGGACATTTTTGTAACACTGTGTGTTCCTCTCCTATATTTTATACTCCTTCACCAAAGCACGCATTTCTCAGTCACCTTATTAAAAGCCTGAAAATCTTCATCCATTTATAATGCTTTGTATTGCCAGATCATAAGATAGTAAAAATAAAATGTATCTTTGAATGAACTATCACATCACTTCTCAGCAAAAAATCCTGAACATAATACTCAAATATACATAAGATAAATGTGAGATGCATTTTTTAATCTATTGTGATCTAACTTTACGTTTATTTCAGTGGAACCTGGAACTAAAAGAAATCTAAAGAAAGAAGTATTTCAAATCATTTTCTGGTTGATTCTAAATTAACCAGAATTCTCTCTTTATGTCAATATTTGTTATTGAAAAACTTACTAAAATGAAATTGTTAAAACCTTGTTTTACTAACTATATCTTGCCAAACATAATTTTTTGATATCAAGGTTATTTTTGTACTCCTAAGGAATCATTATAAGTATCAGTGATTAATTACCCTTCCACCCACTCTGTATTCAGTAATAACTTGATTCATTAAGCATACCAAAAGAAGAGTAAGATCACGTGTTTTTTTTTTTTTTTTTTTTTTTTTTTTTTTTTTAGAAATGAACAACAGTATAGAAAGTAGCATAGTTTAAAGGGAGGAATTCTAGATTTGACTTTCAGGAACGCTACTGAATTTAGACAGTGGGTATGGGGCAGAAGGTGGTGATAGTGGATGGTTTCATCTGTGGACATAGAAGGAACACTAGTGCAAATGGGTCCACCTGGTGTTTTTAAGAAACAGCAAGGAGGTGAGAGTGACTAGACATGAGTGAGCAAGGAGAAGAGGTATACAGAGAAGTTCTGAGAAGTAACCAGCTATGGTTGTTTTAAAACATAATTTCCAAATTCCCTGACATTCCTCTCATCAAAAAGTGGAGCCTAGGTCCCTTACCCTTAAACCTAGGCCTAGAGACTGGTTGGCCAATAGCATATAGTTGAAGTCATGCTGTGCCAGTTTCTAGCTCCAAACCTTTAGAAATGGACAGCTTCTACCTTTTGTTCCTTGGGATACTTGTTCTTATAGCACAGCCGTCAGGCTGCAGGAAGAGCAAGCCACTTGGAGAGACTACTTCTAGGTTCCAGCTAACAGACCGCTAACAGCCAGCTTCGGTTGTCATACCTGTAACTGAAAAGACCCGTTGGGTGATTCCAGCCCAGCCATCATCGGACTCCAAGTACATGAGGGAGCCTGAGAAAGAATCACTGGCTGAGCTTAATCATGCCAGATATCATAATAAAAGATAATTTTATATTATATAATAATAAAGAGATATATAACATAATCAGTGTTTCTTCATCTACTAACTTTTGGGATGATCTGGTACAAAGAATTAAGTACATGATCAGAAAACCAGGTTCTATATCAAGGAAGGGTTTTAAGGTCATTGTGAGGGTTCCATCTTGCATGGAAGAAACCACCAAAATTGAGCTGGAGGTTATTGTGATTTGCCTTATATTTTTAAAGGGTCACTGTGTATACTGATTTGATAAAGTACTGATGAAGGGTAAGAGGTGGAAGAAAGGAAGTTAGACCACTGATGTAGCTTAAGTGTGAGCTCATGGTGTTTGGGATCAAGATGGTAGCAGTGAAGGGGGTAAGAACCACCCACAATCAGGACACCTTTAAAGGAAAACTAAACAAGATTTCCTGAAAACATTGCTGTGGGCACAGTCCACTTTCATATACACATTCTCCCAGGAGTCATTCTTATTTATAAACATTTCCCTCTTAGTACAAAGCATTGTATATACATAATTTTTGCCTTGTTTTGGTCTATTTATTAGCGTATTTGAAGGGAAGGTTGGCGCATAGGGCACTTGCTGTGTCTATACATCCCATTTCATTCTACAGAGCATACTTTACCTGGTCCCTAGTGGCCACTTCTGCAGCTCTCTTTAAAATTCCCCCAATAAGTAATTCCTCTGCCCTCTTTGTTTAAAGTAAGATAGATGAAGGAAGGTTAGAGAAGGAGTGGACCAGATGTTACCTGGAGGCCCCCTAGATATTTTTATCTGATTTCTATCACCTAGGGGATGACTTAATTAGATGTCCACTCTTCTCACTAGTATGCTGTGGAAATTTTTACTTCAGTGAATTACCTTGTCTGACACAAAGACATATATAATTAAGGCCTATGGGAAACCATGACACTTAGTAGCACCTTCCGGATTGGCTACAGTCATGTCAAAATACAGTATGCCAAGTCAACTATGCATTAAAACAAAGTTTGCTTTCTGTGAATACTTTGTTCAAAAATGATGAGAAGAATGAGTTTAGGATGAGCTTAAAAATGACAAAGGAAATAATGCAAACATAATACAAAATAACAGAGAAATGAAGGATTCTGGGATTCTGGATATGAAAGTGTTTAGGAGAAAAGAGCTGATGGGATTATGAGTTGTCATCAAAAATATAAATAACCTGGTGATTCACAGACCTGTATCCCTGGAGCTAATAATACATTATATGTTAATAAAAAATAAAAAAAAGTTAAAATGTATAAATAACTAAGGCCCGTGAAACCAAATGCTCACAAACTGCCCTCTAACACTGAAGGGTGGGCATGTGTTGCATCAAATCCAAGAGTGGTTTGTCTCATCCAGCCTGTGGGTCTGAACCAGTAATCACACAACTTCTTAAAGCACATTTCCCCATGAAGAGAACCACCAGTCTATGGGTAATGCTTAATTTCGCTGGATGAGCTCTCATAATTCAACCCATAAGACACCAAATACTAGCCAAATGGAAAGTGCCCTTCCAAACTTGACTCTGAAAGCATCAGTCTTAGAAGATAAAATAATATTTTGACTTTGATTTTGCATTTGAAGATAAGAGTAACCATATCAGGATTTCCACAAAATTATAAATAAAAGGAAAATTTCATGTCTGGTTACAATAGCTGCTGGACCATGTGCAACACCATTTCAGGGGCAGGTAAGAAATGAAGCATGAAAATATAGTAGTGACACCATGAGAGAGCCACATGAAGAATCTTTTGAAATTATAACCTAATTAGGCCTCTGGGAAGAGAATGCCTTGCCAAATGTTGGTATTCATTCATCATATTCTGAAATATCATTTCTTCATTTTATTATTCAAATGTGTTTATTGAGAATAAGCTTTGTAATATTTATTGTCAATTTAGAAAAAAAGTGAAGCACCATATAATAGAAAGAATTATCAGAGTTCTAACTCTTTCTGTCATTAACATGGTTAATTCATGTCTTGCTTGGTTACAGTTTCCCCAACAGTAAAACTTCAGTTTCAATAGCTCTTCCCACATTCCTTAAGCTCTTGCTTTGTTTGTTTTTCAGGTTGGTTCACCCTCGATTATGATGGGGAAATGCAGGTGTTGGTCCTTGGTTGCTTCTGATTTGCACAGATGCATAGCATATTTGGGACTCTGAACAGTGCCGACCACCTTGTAGAACCCCTCCTCTCTCTGGAGTACAGCCTGCTGTGTGCAGCAGCCCATGGAGTGATGGAGATCCTCCTCTTCATCATCTAGGTCCTTTGAATAATTCCAAGACTATAACAACAAAATAGCAGATCCAAAGGACTGTTTTATGGAAAGACTACGATACATTAAAAAAGAAATTATGGGGGGCGCCTGGGCGGCTCAGTGGGTTGAAGCCTCTGCCTTCAGCTCAGGTCATGATCTCAGGGTCCTGGGATCGAGCCCCGCATTGGGCTCTCTGCTCAGCAGGGAGCCTGCTTCTCCCTCTCTCTCTCTGCCTACTTGTGATCTCTGTCAAATAAACAAATAAATAAATTAAAAAAAAAAAGAAAAAGAAATTATGGTGGAGGAGGCAAAAGTCAACACAATGCACTAAATAGTAGCTTGTCCAGAGTAAGGACTGCAGAGGGAGAGAGTATATAAGGTTTTGCATTACACCTCCCTTCTTAGCCTACCTTTCCATCTCTCAGGTTCTACAGGGAAATGGAGATGGCCGCTAGAGAAGTGGCTGGAGTCCCAAGCCCTTCAACAGGAGTGATGATGAGTCCTACAGACCCTATTCCTTGCATAGTAGTGTAAATATTACTGTGAAACAGAAATGTTCATTGCTAGAGTTTTCACTTCTAAATTTTTGTGGTTGCATATGATGAATTATCACATATGCTCATATCTCCCCAAAGCACTTCATTCATTCATTCATTCAACTGACTGGATGAGGCTCACCCACAATGTGGAGAGTAATTTGCTTACCCAAAGTCTGCCAATTTAAGTGTTAATCACATCTAAACAATACTTCTGCAGCAATATCTACACCGATACATCCAGACAACTATACACCCTAGCCTAGTAAAGTTGATATATGAACTTATCTATCTACCTACCTACCTGCTTACCTATCTGTCTAGGAGTTTACACTATCTTTTTTCATGGGATTTACTAAGTTACTGAGTAAAAGAAAGCTCTCTACAAGTTTCAGCTGTGGGTTCAGGAGGTATGAGCAAACTCAGATTTCTATCAGGCATTCTTTTCCGTGAATGCTCCTTGATCTAATGTGCTTCTTGTTCTAAATACCATTATATTTTAGTTTCATATATTACAGTGGATATGCACCACTGTTCTAGGTTTAAGATGCAACTTATTTTTTTTCTTTCAGCTTAGCTAAATAAACAAAGTGCTTCCACAAAATAACTTCCCACAAACTCATTCTTACGTTATAATATCAAAGGACCCAAGAGAAGGAATCTACCCTTCCCTTTGTGTATGAGGGTATAGGTTTGATTCTTGGTCATTCATTAAATTACATAAAACAAATATTTTGTGAGTTTGATAAAAATATCAGTTGAGGAAATAAGATATCTTAATTCTACCCATTGTTTTTGTAATATAATGTCTAATATTTATTACAATAATAACCTGTATACAATGTTTTATGCATAAACATTATTTAGAATTGTGAAAGGAACATAAACTAAATACTTAATATAAGCAAATGGCTAAATGGATTAGAATATGTTTTTGCAGACTTTCAAAATGTTTTACAAGTTTTTTAAAGACATGTAAATTGCTTGTAAATCTATGATTAAAGTTGTATTCTCTCTGTTTCTAATATCTCAATTATGTAAAAAATGCATAGACCTTGAGAAGGATGTTTACCTAAAAATATATAGTTATTACATATAATGACTATTATCTCTGTATGGAAGTAGTATGGATGACTTGACTCTGCTTCTCTATATTACCTTTATTAAGATTAGCTTTTGTGCCACACTTATACACACTTAGAATAATAAAAATAAACAAACCTTGCCTACAAGTAAAAGTAAATGAAAAGAAAAAGAAAAAAAAAACATATTCTAGCTCCATATGGTGAACTTAAGTGGTTTATTTTGTGGCATGTGATCTCTTTTTGGTTCTCACTCTTTTATTATAAAATAAGAAAAACAGGGAGATATGACTCAGCCCTTCCATTGATTATCAAACTTTCACCCACAATGTGGAGAGTAATTTGCTTACCCAAAGTCTTTCCTTTGGATGCCACCCCACTCTCTTCTTCTTTTTCTTCCATTTTCCAGATTGTTCTATATAATTCTTCTTTACTGGATTCTCTGTCTTTTCTGTCTCATTGGTTTATTATTTCTTTTCTTGTCTTCTTTTGTTGCATCTACTTTCTCTGAGTGATTTCATCCACTACCAAGGCTTTGCTAGAATCAACATGAAAATAACTCTCAATGATATAAATTAGAATGCATTGTTTTCTCCTGAGTTCCATACTTATATCTCTACCTATTCTCAACCTTTCCACAGATACCTAAAACACTGCATGTTAAAACTGAACTAATTCAAGACCTCTCTTTTATCTCCTCATCTCTAATAACAATGGTTGGTGGCATCACCACCCACCTGCTACCTGGGAAAGAATCCTTGTATATCTTCAATTTCTCTCCTTTTCTCTCACTGCCCTCAACCTACCCATAATATAGTATTAAGTGTCCATCATTATTCAGCATAATTATTGCAATAACCCCCTAACTTTTCTCCTTGCCTCCATTCCACTCCCATGTAATCCCCTTCCACACTAAAGCCAGAGTTCAGTTTTATTTTTCACAGTAATCACCATTCCTGATAACCCTTTACTTGGCTTCCACCACCCAATAAAGCCCAGGAGTCTTAGGAGGGCACGGGAGAACTTTCTTAATTGAACCTCTCTATTCCTACACAAAATTCTTTGGGTTTAGCTCTTGATTTAAGGCTAGATCTGGTCCCATTTTCTATATTTATTTTGCTTTCTCTTTTAATCTGTTCTTCCACTATTTTCTATTCTTCACACATAGCATATTTTGTTCTGTCCACCCAAAATATACATTCTGCCATGATCTGCCTGTAAAATTGGTATTTATTTGTAAATCCTTCTCAGAAATAACCTTATGTAAATTTTTTTTAAAACAACCACCTAGAAGTAACTAGTGCCTTTCATGTATTTCTATATTTATTAATCTTTCTCAGAATGAATTATTTTTTTGCCACATTTGTTTGTGTCACTAAAATGTGAAATGTTTTCCCAATATAATTATAAGATTCCTGAAGACAATCTGATTGTGATTTTTCATTTGAATGACCTGTAAAACTTACTGCAAAGATGAGCTACAGGTACTGCTCAGTGAATATTTAATGCATAGATTTTACAACTTAGAAGTCTCTTTGGTGAATCATATGAGTCTGCTTCATAGTTATTCAGTTCACTGGTCTATAATTCCATGAATACCTACAACAACAAATAAAGGTCTTTGGGTTTCATTGTTGGTTTATGGCTTGGGACTGCCCTGCTATTTTCTAGTTATCTGACTTAAGGGGAATGAGCTTAGGAAGGCTTTTTTTTTTTTTTTTTTACAAAAAGGGAAACAAATATGCATTTTATCTTCTAGGAATTTTTGAATGAGTAATTTTTATTTCAAAATGTATAGTTAGCCTCAAGGAAAATAATTAATTTGATAGTATTGGGGACACTCCTACTCTGCTCTTACACTACCTTGTCCCTTATCTTTATTTTTCTACTTATATCTCCAGAGGACATGGTGCTCCTCGTGAAAAAACAACCTTGAAAATTATCTCAGGGTACTATCCTTTCTTGAGGCTCTTATACTTCATACTTCATTATAGGTTGTTTTCACTGCTCTAACAAATTAAGTGATTTTAGATATCAGTGATTAATTGATATGTTACCAATCATAGATATATTTGAATTTTAAAAGAACTCTATGAAGATACATGGTTTTTAATTATCTCTTCTTAAGTGTGAAATTTCAATTTTTTAGGGGCAAGGCTGGCACTAAGTTATCCTAACACAAAGGTAGCTGGCTACTGATGTCCCTGTACGGTATTTATTTGAATAGGTAGTAGGAGTTGGCAATATTTGAGGTTAATTACTCCTCCTCTGTATGACTACCCATACTACAGATACCAGCTGCAAGTTTGGGGGCCACCAGAACCACCCTCAATTCAGACCAGCTGGCCATAAATTCAGGGGTTCCATGACACCGCTCAAATTCAGTTATCTGCAGAAACGCTCAAAGAACTTACTGGAAGCACCATACTTATAATTAATTTTATCATAGCAACAAGATATAAACTAGAACCAGCCAAAAGGAGAGGTACCTAGGGTGAAGTTTGGGAGAGCTCCAAATGCAGAATCTTCAAGAACGTATGACCCTTTCAGAATCAAAAAGTGAGGTAGTTTACCCAAACTGTGGTGTCCAAAGTTTTATTGAGGCTTTATGATGTGGGCAAAACTGAACAAAACATTGGCCATGTGGTTGAACTTAATCTCCATCCTCCCCACCCTCTTCAGAGGTAAGGTTGATATCACCTAGTTCAAAGTCCAAACACTTTACTCACATGATTGGTCTTTCTGGAATAGCCAGCCCCTGTTCTGAGTCATTTATTAGCATAAACTATCTCAGGGCCCACCAGGAGTCACCTCATTAGCATAAACTATGAAATGTGGTCCCGTGGTCCACACTGATTAACAAAGATACCCCTATCACTTGGGAAATTCCAAGGGTTAAGAGGTTGTTTCCTAAGAACTGGGAACAAAAGCCAACCAGATCCTTTATTACACAATAGTAAATATACAAATTTAACAACTTTCTTACCAAACAGAAGAAGATTTATTTCCTTAGATTTTGACATGTGCATTTTATGAGAAAAAGGTTGGTGGCCATAGTTTATAAAGCATCTATACCTTCATTCTTTGTTACAGTTATTGAAATAAGTAAAACACAATACCAGGTGATCAGAGACTATTAATTTTAGATTTCCAGTTGAAACCAAAACCGAAGGGAAAATCTTTCTGTTGCCAATACCCCCCCCCAAAAAAAGGAAAAGGAAAGAAAAAGAAAAAGAAAAAAATTTAAATTGAACAACACTTTTTGCTGTCTGAATTGAAATCTTAAAAATGGAAGAATAAATTATAAGTTTAAGAGTCAGTAAAAAC